ATGAACCATCCAACGAAACAACGGACCTGGCACCAGCAACAGAACCAACCAAGAAGAACGGGAACCCAGAAAACACAAACGAACCACCAATGAACCATCCAGATCAGACCAGGTTCCGGTTCACCAGTCTAACCAGAACGCGCCACCGCCACCGCCGCCGCCCTGCCGCCGCCGCTACCGCCGCCCGCCACCGCGTCACCGCCTCTTCGTCACCTTCCGCCCGTCCACCGTCACCGCTCACCGTCACCGCCGCCACCGCCCGCCATCACCACCACCACCACCACCACCGCCACCACCGCCCACGCCGCCCGCCGCCCGCCGCCCGCCGCCCGCCGCCCGCGCACCACCAACGCCGCCACCGCCCGCCCGCCACCACGCCGCCGCCCGCCCGTAACGCCCGCCACCGCAATGCACTGCCGCCTCCAAGCCTGCTGCTCACCTCCCGCCCAGGCCCAAATGCTGCCCATCCACCACCATACCGCCCGCCCGGGGCTCACCACCAAAGGGCCTGCACGTCTGCCGCCTGTCCCACCACCACCACACCACGCCTGCCACCACCGCGCGCCGCCGCCACCGCCCGCCTTCACCGCCACCGCCGCCGCCCGCCACCACCACCAAATAGAACCAGAAACAACACCAACGAACGAACGGCCCAGAAGAAAAACACCAATGGAATAACAACGACAACCAGAACCCAAGGGCGAGAACCACCAGAAGTAATGCGAACCCACCACAACGCCAACGAAACAACGAACGGCCGAACTGAACCAAACAACGAACGTGGTTAACGGAACCAGAACCGCCCAGAACCACCAACCACCCAACCAGCGAAACACCAGGCACCACAACGGAAAGAACCCAACAAACGGAACGGCAACGAATAACGGCAACGGAACGAAACGGCGAAGGCGGCGGAACGTCTCTGGCACGAACGCAACGAACGGGCAAACGCAACGAAGAATGAATAATGGCACGGTGGCACAGCGTCCCAACGGTGGCAACGGCACGAATCCAGAACGAAACGAACGAACCAAACGCAACAACCAGAAAACCGAAAACAAAAAAGAACAGAACCAGGAACACCGTCGCACCAACAGATCACCAGAACGCACGAATGCCGAAAACAACGCACACAACAACGAACTGAACACGACAGAAACGACAACGAACAAACGCAACAAGAACACCCAAACTGGAACAACAACTGAACGGCACCAGAACAACAATCGATACACCAGAACGCAACAACGCGCACCACAACGAATGAACCAGAACACCAGAACGCGAATTACAACATAACATCAACACGGCACAACACCACCACGAACGGCAACGAAACGCGAAGCACAGCGAAGCAACGGCGACACACACAAAAACACACATTGGCAACCACAAACGCACAAAACCAACAGACCGCCGAACCACAACCACCGAACACCAGAACGACACGAATGAACGAACAACACCAACAACGTCGAACGAACGACCGAACGGAACAACGCACGACAACGCACCAGAACACGCACCAGCATCTGAATGAACGCAACCACCAGAACGAACGCATGACCACACGGAACGCAGAACACGAAACAACGGCACCAGACGCACCACAGAACACGAACGGCACAGTCCACGACGACACACCAGAACACGAAGGCAACGACAACAACAACAGAACCAACGACCAACCACACGATCAACGAAACGACCAACCGAACACGCCACCAACCACGACCACAATGGAACAACGCGAACGTCACAACACACACAGACGAGAAACGCAGAACGCACGAACACAGAACAGAACGAACAACCATCCAGACCACGAACAATGAACGAACCACCCCGGCAGAACGCGCACACGAAGACACAACAAAACAACAACAACCCAGAGAACAACAACCGACGACCATCCCACGACGAACGACAACAACAGAGACGATGACCACCACAACGACGACGCACCACCGAACGAACGAACAAACGAAACCAGACCGCATGTCCAACAGACGAAGAACGCCGCGAGAACCCACGACACACCAGAACGACAACGCCCGAACGAACGGCACCACAACCAGAACGGACAACGAAACAACCGGAAGAACGACGGCAACCGACGGCACAGGAGACCACAACCGCAACGAACCAACGCAAACCACCAACGAACCACAGGCAAACACATAACTGCAACAGAGGAACGAACCGAACATCCACCACTGAAAAACTCACCAAACAGGAACCAACGCGACGACAACAACGCAACACGCGGCGAAAGACGGTCGCCCACCGAATACCCGAAGCGGGCGACCGCACGAACGCATCGACAACGAACGAATATACGAGAACCGACAACGCAACCGCCCACCACGCCGAGACGCACAACGAACAACAACACGAACACACGGCAACCAAGAATCCAACAACCCAGAACCGCAGAACGAACAACCAACCCAGAATGAACGAACCCCGCATAACGACACACAGAAAACGAACGCCCAACGAACGAACACCAAAACGAACGTCCACGAACCATCTGACACAACACCGAAACGACGCACCACACGATCCACCCGAGATCACGAACCGAAACACGAACAACAACGAAATGACGAACGAACGAATGAACGGCACGCGCACACACACACGCGCGGACACCACACAATGAACAGAACGCACCACCAGAACAGAACAACGAACCACGAACCAGGATCAACACACACGAAGACACAACAACGACACCAGCCAGAACGAACCACCACAGAACGAGACAACCAACCGGCAACAACGGCACACACCAACGAACAACCTGAACGCACCAGAACACTATATCGAACACACAAGAAACAACCATGAACAACAACGAAGACGAACCAACAGCACGCGTCCCGTCCGCCTGCCACGAACAACCAACGAAACCACACAGCAGGCAACCGAAGAACCCATGACGAGAAACTGCACACAAGAGAACAACAGAACACGCGCAACAACAATGGCGAGGCACAACAACAGAAAAATGAGGAGATATCAGAACGAGCACGAACCACACACAACACCACCGAACCACCACCGAACCACACAAACAATGGTACGACCACCAAGGACACGAACACCGACGACAACCCGAGAACAGTGATCCACCGGCAACGACACCGACACACGAACAAAAACCTGAACGACACAGAACGAAAACAACGACCGCCACCGGCACCGACAACGAGACCATACCAAAACGAACGAACCAACCGACGAACGACCACACACGACGCAGAACCCACAGATCCATAACACCGAACACAACGAACAACGACACCACCGGAAACGAACCGAACTGAACACCAACCATGAACGACACGAAGAACCACCGAAGACCAAGAACAACGCAGTCCAGAACCAACACAGACACGAAGAACAACGAACGGCACACCACCGAACAACGGAACGAACAACACAGACCCACCACGAACGGCAAACGTAACAAAACACCACACCAACGCAAAAGAACACAACGAATATCCCCCACCGGGCGAACGAAAAGAACCACCAGAACCACACAACCACCTGCACCAACCGAACGAAGAAACGACAACGCCCAACCACCAGCACACGAACAACGAACGACACGAACACCACACGCGAACAAGACAACACACGAACATCCAACCAACAACGAACGACACAACTGAACAGCACCGAACCACAACCGGAACCACACACCACAAGAACGCCAGAGCAACCACCGGCAACGAACCCAGAACGAACGAACGATCAGAACCCCACCCACGCCCAACAACAACGACGGTCAACGGTGCGACACGAAACAGAACCACCACATGAACGCACGCGACCACACAAACGGCACAACGAACGAACCAGAACCACACACGAACACGAACAACGAATGGACGAACGCAACGAACCACACACACAGAACCACACGACAACGAACAACGAAATGAACGAAACGCAACAACGGAAGAATAATGGAATGAACCACCACACACCAGAACGAACAGAACCACCGATTGCACACACAACCACGAACGTACAACAACACGAACACACCAGAACGAACAACAACGAACCGAACGCCACCAGAATGAACAACAGTCCAAACACGGAATACCCACAACAACAACGCCACCACACACCGAACACAACAACGAACAACGAATGTAGAACCACACAGAACAAACAACACACACGAACACCGACGAACACAGAACAACCACACGAACCCAACAGAACGAACACCAGAAACCGACACCACCCACCACTGAACCACCCACACACACCACAGAGAACAGCAGAACAACAGACCGACACCCACCACCAGACACCAGAACAACAAGAACCACACACACACACGAACCCACGGTCCACAACCAGAACAACGAACGAACAAGAACACGACCAACGACCACGACGGAACAACACGACACCAACCACACGAAAACCAGAACCAACAACGAACAAACGATCACAACAACGAACGAAGAACAACACAAACACAACCACGCACCACCAGAACCACGTCGACAGAACAACGAAGAACACGACGAACACACGAACGAACGAACACCAACAGAAGGAACCGCCACCAACAACCAGCAACAGAACGGCCCAACACACACAACACGAACGAACACAACCAACCCAACCGAACGAACCGAATGAACAACCAGAAAGAAGAACAACAACAACCACACAACCATCCAACGAACAACGAACGAACCAACCAAACAACCACCAGAACACACAACAACAGAACCACCACAAACGAACGAACCCAGACCAACGAACACCAACACACAACCCACACCCACCAACACACAACAACAGAAAACACCGCAATACAACGACGAGAACGCCAGAACGAACAGAACCAACGGCACGAACGAACAACGAACCCAGAGACGACACCACGGCGAACCAAACGAACCAGACGAACACCACACACACACACAGAACGAACAACCAACGAACGAACAACAATGCCACACCGACGAACAACAACACAACACACGAACACCCACGAAACGAACACCAACGAACGACGAAGAACGAACACGAACGAACCACCGAACGAACAACAACACAACAGAACGATCACAACCAGAACGGAACCAGAACAACAACAACAACAACAAATGGACACAGGCACAACAACCAACAAACAACCACAAACGAACCAACGAACGAACAACGAACAGAACGCAATCGAAACGACACCACAAGAACAAGAACGAACACCGAACGACAACGATCGAACAACAACGAACGACGAACAACCCAGACCCGACAACAAGAACCAACGAACACGACGCACACCAGAACGAACCCAACGTGAACGAACAACGAACGAACGGAACACGAACAAAGAACGAACACAACCAGACGAACGAACGAACACACGAACCACACAACCGAACGAACCACCGACAACGAACAATTGAACGACACAACCAACGAACGCACACCAAACGAACGAACGAACGAACGACGCACACACACACGAACAACGCACACAGCCCACAACGAAAACACCGACGAACAAAACACACCACACCGAACAGCACACAACACGAACACGAAACCCAGAACAACCACCACACACGCACCAACAGAACGAACCAGAGACAACCGAACGACGCACACCACGCAACACCAGAACAATGAACACGAACACACAACCGACGAACACACACCGAACAACAACACGACCACGACACGACCAACACATGACGCAACGAACGACCGAACAGAACCAGAACGAACACACACACAGACCAACGAATGAACAACGAACAACAGACCAACAACAACAACAGAACAACCAGAACACAACCACGACCACACCACGAATGACAACGAACCCAGATCAACCAACACAACCACACAGAAACGGGACCACAACGAACACCACGAACACCAACAACGAACAACACCGCAACGAACGAACACCAGAACAACACAACAACGAACACACAGAACACACACCACAGAACGAACGAACAACACACAGAAGAACGAACAACAAGAACGAACAATGAACACAACGAACCCAACGAACACAACAACAACAACGAACCAACAGAACGAACAACGAACCGAACGAACAGAACATCACCCGACACACACGAACCACACCAGACGAACGATGACGACGAACAACAACCACGAACCACCAACACAACATCAGAACACAACAAGAACGACGAACCACACGAACACGAACATCACCACAACGAACAACCACGAACCACCACACAAACCGAAACCGAACCAGAACGACAACCGCAACAACACCAACGAGAACCACACTGAAGCGTCCACCACGAACAGAACAACACACGGTCCACAACAACACAGAACCAACCGAACGAACACGAATGACCGAACCAGAACACCACACACGAACAGAAACAAACCACAACAACAACAAACGAACAACACAACACGAACCGAACAACCAACAACAACAGAATGAACGAGAAGAACAACGCGACGAACAACCAACAGAACAGAACCAACAACACACCACACACGAACGAACAACGAACACAGAACAACGAACGAACGACACGACAACACAACAAAACGAACGACAACGAACAACAACACACGAACGAACCAACAACAGACACCGAACAACCACAATGAACAACGAGAACGAGAACGAACACCACAGAACAGAACAGAACGACGAACAACGAACATCACACCACACACAACAGAACCCACACGAACAAACAGAACCAGAACGACGAACAAACAACACACGACACAACACAACCAGAACACAAACAACACACAACCACAACAACACACATCACACGACAGAACCAGAACAAGACTGAACCAACCACAACAACGAACAACAGAACACCGAACAAGAACGAACAACCAACCAACACAACCAAACGGAACAACGACCACAATGACCGAACGACAACCAGAACACAACGAACCAGAACAACACAGAAGACGAACAACCCGAACAACGAACACCACAACAACACAACAAGAACAAAGAACACGAACGAACAAGAACAACACCAATGAACAACACCAGAACCACCACAACACGAAACAACAATGAACGAAGAACCAGACACAACAACACACACACCAGAATGAAGAACACAAGAACAACAACAGAAACGAACAACAACCACAGAACAACAAGAAAACATCCAACAAGAACAACGCCACAACCAAACAACAACACCACACCACCCACACACGAAACAACGAAGAACACACAACACAACACCGGATAACACGCAACAATGACAACACCAGATCCACCGCACCCGAACAACAACGCAACAAGAACACACACAGACGAAACAACAAGAACAACGAACACAACGAAACAGATGAAACAAACACCACCAGAACGAACCAACAGAAAACACCACCACACACAAACACACAACCAACAACACCGAAATACGCAACCGATCGAACAACACACACGAACGAACAACACACCACACACAAACAACGACAACACAAAGAACGAACAACAACAACAGCGAAAACAACAGAACACACACGAATGAACAAACAAGAACAACAACAAACACGACCAGAACAACGACAACATCACAACCAACAACAACACATCCACAACGAGAACACCAAACGACGAACACCACAACACACACACCCACAACGAACAACACCACACCACAGAACAGAACGACAAAGACCACACCACGACAAACAGACCAGAACAACAACACCAGGAAGAAAGAACGAACAAACAACAGAAAAACACAGATCCAATCATCCACAGAACGAATGAACAGAACACCGCATGAACTGCAACACACAGGTCAGAACACCAGAACAACACACAGAGATCACACGAATATATCAAGAACAACAACCCAGAACAACAACAACAGATCTGTCCACCCGAGGACACTGAACAATATCGGTCACGGCGAACAACACCATAACAGAACAACACACAGACCAACAACACGAACAGACGATCACAACACCAGACACACCAGACAACACACACGGCCACAGAAAGAACAACAACAACACAACAACAGACAAGAATGACGACACGAATGAATATCGTATCACAACACATTTGATGAACAACCAACACACAACACGAGGCACCACGATCCACGAACAGCCAAACAGAACAACAACAATGAATGAATGTATCGCACCGACCAACATCAACAATGAGAACAGAAGAATGACAACAACAACAACAGGTCAACAACCAACACCACAACACGAACAACCACAGAATAGAATGAACAAATGAGAACATCAACGCCACACAACCCACCAACAACAATGAACAATGAACAACACGACAACAACAGAAGAACAACAATGAACAACATCGAAATCAGCCAGAACGAACAACGAACAACAACAATGCATGGAGAACAATATCGAAGAAGCACAATATCATCACCGAAACAACAACAACAACAGTCAACACCACTGATCAACAAATTGAACAACAACACGAACACACACCACGGGAACAGTCAACAGCAATGAACAGAATAAAATGAATAACAACAACAACAGAATGAATGAACAGAATGAACATCACATCACCGAACCAGAAAGAACCACAACCGAACAACAACAACAACAACAACAGAACAACAACATCACGAACACATCACCCCTCACACACCACCGAACGAACAAACATCGAACAACTGTCCCACAACACCATCAACAACACGAACAAAATACCAACAACAGAACAGAACAGACAGCCACAACCAGAAATGAGAAGACCAGAATGGTCACACAACCACACCAACGAATGAACAGAACCATCAACACGACGACAACAACAAGAACACACCACACCAACCAACACCACCAAATGAAGGAAGAACACGAAGCACACCCAACACCCCAGAACAACGAACCCCGAATAGAACAACACCGAACGAAGTGAACACACACAACAACAACACGAACAACAATGACAATACGAAGAATAACGGTGCACGAACACGAACAACGGGAACAACACCACAACGAACCAAACCAACGACCAATGAACACAGATCACCCAACACCACTGAACAACAACGATCACGAACACACAATCCAACAACACCGAACAGACGAACAAACAACACGACATTACCCAGACGAACAACACCACCAGAACGAACACCGAACACCTGGCACACACACGAACGGCACCACGACGAACAACAGGTCAACCAAAACATGAGAACGAGACGAACATCGCGACCAACAGAACACCGACGAACAACAGAATGATCGAGTCACAGTGAACATCAGAACACACCCACAAGAACAACAACACGAACAATATCAACCAACAACAACACCACGAGAACACATTTACTGAAGAACAACACGAATGCACGACACACAGGTGAACATCGTACAATGGTCACCAACAACAGATACTGAGGACAACACATGACGACAACCAACGATCACCCCAACAACGACGAACAACGCACCAACACGAACGGCACCAGAACAAGAACACGTCGACAGAACAACAACAACAACCACGAGATCGCACGCAACGAATCCAGAATGCCGAACAACAATACGCATCCAGAACAACAGGTCAGAAACAACACCATCACCGAACACAGAAACATCCAACAACACGACAAGAACCGCACAACGCCCAACAACAGAACATCATCGACAGACGATCACGTATCAGAACACCAGCACCAGACGATCAACGAACAAACAACCCAACACCAGAACAACACGAACACAGAACGAACGACACGAATGAACAGAATCCCCACCGAACGATCACACAGAACACGACAACACGCCCACAACATCGCAACACGACATCACCGACCACCAGAACAACAGAACAACAATGACCATCCAGAACAACAGGAACAACACAACAACAACGCACCGCATCGAGCAGGCAACAAACGAACAAAGCATCCACGACGAATACCGAACAACGACCACGACGTCAACCACCCACCAATGATATCCCGATCAGAAGACAAACAACAAACACGAATGACTTAACAATGAAATGACAAATGCACGAATGAGTCGAACGCACGGTGATGTATCGCCGAACGAACAACAGACGACCTGAGAACAATGGAACAGAATGTCAGGCACAACAAGAACAACTGACGCAAAGAACAACGCACGACGACGGCACTGAACACGAACAACAGAGAACATCACCACACGCAGCAACGAATACCGAATGAATGAACAGATAGCACGACGTCAACAACAACAGAAATGAACAATGAAACAGAATGAACAAACGAGAACGGTCAACAACACGCGAATGATCACGCACAACACGAATGATCACCGACACGAACAATGACATCAACAACAACAACAACAATGAACAACAATGAACAGAACAGAACAACAGTCACGACGAAATGAGGAATACACACAACAACACACGAATGAAAATATCGATGATCACCGAACAACGGCGCACGAACAATGAATGACGAAACAACAATCAGAACAACACACATCGAAAACAAAACGACACAACCAACTGAACGCATCGCACCGACGCAACAATAACAAACAATGAACAACATCACACGAGATGAACGACGAACACAACGGACGCCGCACGCCCAGATCACCAAAACGATCAAACAGTACACTGAACCAGACGATCATCAGACGATCGAGAACAATTGCGTCATAACAAACGAATGAACACATCATCACCAATGATCAACAACAATCAGCAATGAATGCAAAACACGAATATCAACAACGAACAGGAACAACAATGACAATAACAACAACAACATCGACAACAGAATACTGAACAATGAACAGAATCAACGACAGACAGACATCAGCACGACGCGAATGAACACAACAGCACCAACAACACGAACAATACAAAACACGACACAACAACAACACTGACGATCAACGGCAACGACGATCAGATCGAAAGAACAAATGAACAACATCGACGACATCAGACGACGCAACAGTCAGATGCAACACGAGAACAACCGACGACCACCGAACACGCCCAGAACGCACGACGATCACGACGGCAACGACGCAAACGCAGACCACCACGACGACCACGAATTAACAATCAGAACAACAACAACAGACGAATGACGACACAACGATACCACGAACGCACAAACGAAGACAACAAACAACAAATGACGACAACAAACAACAGAACAACAACATAATGAACACAACAAGGCATCGAAGAATACCACGAACAGAACACACGTACGCAACAACACACAACGAAACACGCACCGAATGCACGACAAGACGAACAACGAACCCACCACGAACAACGACAACAACAACAACAACGAACAATGACGATCACTGAACAAACAGAACAACAGACAACGAACACCGAGAACCGACGTCACGCACGTCACCGATCACGCAATGAACAACGCAGAACACAAACACCGAGAACGAACATCACCAACGAACAACAACACACACACAATGATCGCGAACACGACGATCGAACACCATCGAACACCGAACACCAACATCATCAACGACCGAACAGCAACAGAATACTGAATGACAGGAACAAATGAGAACGAACACAACGATCAATGATCAGAAAAATGAGAAACAATGAATATCATCATCACGCAACAACACAACAACAGAATACCACGACGACGCACAACAACAGACAACATCACGTACCGAACACGATCAACAAACAACAACGAATGAACACACACCATCACCGCACACGAAAATGAACAACAACAACAACAACAACAACACGAACAATATTCACAAGAACGGTCACCCCAGACGATCGAACAAGACGACAACCAGGCCGACGACAACAACAACGACGAACATCATCGACCGAACGACCACCGAACACCAGACACGACCAGACCACAACCACCAGACGTCATCGTTTATCAACAGAGGAATAGAATGGTAATGACAATATCGATAAACACGACGAAAATACGTCAGAATGTACGCACGACCGAACGAACGCAGCCCACGACGATCGACTGGCCCACACCAACCACAGACGAACAACGATACAACAGACCCACATCAACGAATACCAACAACAATGACCGAATGATCGACACAAACAACGAACAACAGAATGACGAACGACGCACAACAAATACCGACGGACAACACGAACACGAACAACACGAAGAACAGACGACTATAAATGACGAACACGAATGAACAACAGAACAGCAACAATGAACACACGCCGAATATTGATCAACAACAACAACATATCACACATGAAAACAAGAAGACAGAACAAATCGCACCGAAACGATCACGCCCAGTCAACAACAATCAACACGACGACCAGCCGACGACAACAGCCACACCGACAACAACACGAACAACAATGATCACGACAATACCGAATATCAACAACAAATATCGACGAAAATACAATGAATGAGAGAACAACACGACCAACACGCACGCAACAAATCGGCATGACGACAACGACCACCGCCACAATATTTAACAGACACGAAACGCGCATTGACACGAATGACGTCACGAATACCACGAAAGAATGATCAACACCGGCGACGCCCAAACAACAACAACGCCGACAACACGAACATGAAAAGATCAACACGAACAACACGGACGATCGACAACAGAACACGCACGATCACGCACGAACATCACACGAACATCACCGAATGAAACGATCGAACACGACGACAACACGACGATTACGAAACGACCACAGAACACGATT